TTTTCATTTAAAAAATTTTCTTTGCTCAAACTTTTTTTTAGAAAAAAATGTTAAAGTGGTTAAAGTGGGAATAAAAAAATTAACTTTTTCATGCTTAAAATGAAATGTTTCACTTTTGACATAACTTTGCATTGTTATATGTAATAATAAGCATGATATGTAAAGACCATTCCAGGTTTGGTGCCAGACCAGACAGTGGCGGATCTAGAGGAGGGAAGCCGTTGTGAGCAGTTACCTTTGCCTAATTTTTTGTGTACTAAAAACATTGGGGACTGAAAGTTCCGGGACCAAAAATTCCTAGATTCCCAGATAAATACATTTCAATATAATTGGTATAAAAACTTCAAGAAGTTTATAAGTTCATTTAATATTATTAACATACTGGTTATAAATAAATACATTTTAATATTATTAATTCAAGAAAACAACCATGGGGTTTATAAATACGTATTAATATTTATATCATGGAAACCTCTTATTAAGGGCCTACTAAAGTTGGAGGCCCAAGCCCATGCCAAATGACTTCCTTTCGTCCAGGGTCGAATAATGAATATCATATTATGCATATGTACAAATATGTAAGCAGAATATATGCCCTATCATTAATGTTTGAAAATTTTCTTGAAAATTTTACAAATATTTAATGCTCGATGATGATTATTGCATGCAAAGAAATAAATAAAACAAAGAAGAAGAAGATGATGTAATCCCTAATAAATATTTCTCACTCTTGGGACAATTTCAAAGTCTTTATTAGATATTTTTGGTTTCATAGATTTTTAATTTTTTTTTATTAAAATAACAATTTATGAGAAAAAAAATTATCGAAAAATATAGACAATCTATTGGATTGTCAATCGCAAAATTACTTCACGTACGTCACGAGCAGCTCGCACGTACAGCTTGTGCGTGAAACAAAAACAAAAACATCACTAACCATAAATTGAGGGCTACATATGCGATTAAGATTAGGTATTTATACTATCTGAGACGCATTAACTCATATCTATGTTTGTTTGTTTGGGTTTTTGTTTGTTTGTTTGGGTAGGTATGTATATGTTTGTATGCGTCTCTAGGTATGTGTTTGTGTGTGTGTGTGTGTCTATTAGCAAACAAAATCACGTATATAGAAGAGACTTTTATGTTAGATTAGAAATTATAAATGATTATATGAATGATAAGTTAATATTATCATAATTTATGTGAATTAATGTAATTAAAAATTTTGAAAGTTTACTAAATTTCAATGGTAGTCCTGTAGTGTTTAATGATAGTCAGCCAGCACATAACGAATCGGTCGAAATCCAGTACAACTCTTGTTTTTATATAAAATATTTGTACACTTTTGTGTGGCAACATTGCAGTATGTATCAAGTAATGATTAATTTATAAATGTAATGAGATGAACCAAAACATTTGGACATTTTTGGAATTAAATTGTCGCCATCTGATTAAGATAAATGATTAAGATTATCAATTAGATAGA